CTTAAATAGTGTCCCAAAAGCTGATTTCTTTTTGTTTTCTCTTTGTCTCTTCTCAGGAACTCCTTCTGAGTGTAACATGTCTCTTTGTAAGTCCAAGATAAGAAAGTTGTCCAAGTCACTCTTCTGGTTTATTATTTGTGCGTCCTTTTTAGTTATTAAGATATCAGTTGGTTTCATTCGTAAATCCAATGTAACGTCTTTTTCCATATTATTCTTATAACTTGTCATTTTTAAATCCAAATCCAAAACAGCCAGATTCTCAGTCGTATCCTCTTCTATCTCCTCTTTTAAACCCATTTTTATGGTAGCAGACAATCTTAAGAGAAATTTCTGAGTGCACTGTTCCCAAATATCCTTAAATTTTCCAAAGTTAGAATATTTTTCTCCATTCTGTCTCTTCTCCTTTAATTATAATCTTTAGTTCTTTCTGTTTGCATCTAGTGTCCAGCCTTCAAAGTCTTCTCTTATCATGTTTTTCTCTAATCCACAACATTTTCCCATGGGAAGATTTCTTACATTTAGATTCAAAATCTTCATATATTTTAATAGGATTTTAGACAATTCATGGGAAGGATTCTTATAATTAAATTCAAAATCTTATTTCCAATCCATCTGGTCCTTTAATCTATCTATAACTTTCCAAAATCAATGTTCTAATCACCCTTTTGCTATTTATTTCAAAATAAAAAAAAAATTAAGTCCTTAAACTTACATGAAGCTTCTTTCACTGAGGATTGAAGGCGAACCATCCGGTGTGATGAAACTTGTTGTTCTGAAGGTTCTTAATATGCAAAAATCAGTTAACAAACAATTTCCAGAAGTGATTAAGAAAGGAAGTGGGCAAAGCCAGCGTCCGTCTGGAGGCTCCAAAACACGGCTTGGGCAAAGCTGACTTTCCCTCAGTTCCCAGAGCTTTAAAACCTGCCAGAGACCACCATTTTTCAGTTTCCTCGTGGGGAGCCTCTGTATGGAATGCTTGTGGGCGATCCCAAGTCCTCCCCTTTATCTGGAGAGGAATTTCGGGATGCCAATCCATTTGCTGGCTCCTCATTCTGCCGTGGTCGCTGGCTCCACTTCAGTCTGCCATTGCTTTCCCAGAAGTCATCTTCAAACATATTTTCATAGCATAACAGATATACACACATTAAATATCACAAGCCCTAGGTATCATATTGGCCATATTTGATCAAAACATACCTAAATGTGAGTCTCCTTCTATTCTTGGCATTTTTTTCATCTTCATCACTGTGATCAGAAAAGCAATAATGAAGAACTTCATCTTGCTCTTCTATGTGATCCAACATGATCTGATTACGGGTTTGAAATCCAGCTATAACTTTGCTTAGGGAATACATCGGAGGGCTTGTGTGTACCTTTTAAAGAAGTTAAAAAAATGTAAAATGTAAAATATTTTTATCCAGGTTTTCTATTTAAAAATTACTCACAGTGGATAAAGTATGGCAAAATAACTTTATAGGGAGCAAATCCCCATTTACTAGAAGAAGGTTAAGATGGATTATTGTGTTTACCTCTTTGCTTGTCCTGATAATCAGAGCTATATTAGTTGCTAATTTTTGTTTGTTTATTTGTCAGATTTAGGAGGTTGCTCAACTCTGTAACGACTGGTCAGTATACAAGATTAAAAACAGTAAGAACAATAAAAGAAAAGAACATAATATCTACCTTTCGAGAATCCAATCCTACTGGTATGTTATTGGACAGCATCAAACTTTTAGTTAATGGGACACTATAAGGCCTTTTAGCTGATATTACAGCAGCTGGTCCATCTCCAGAAGCACCAGACACTTTTGCCATTTTCTCTAACTTGTCATTTAGCTGGTTAATTGTAAGTCGTTGCTCTACCATTTTTTCATTCTTGGAATGAAACAAAATTGCATTTATTAAACTTTACACAATTGCAAAACTGAAATAAATAAACCCACTGAAATTTGGATTCAACTTAATTAAATCTAAAATTGTAATCTTATATATACTTACATGGGAATAAATCTTGATGATTATAATATTCTCAAGCTATATTTATGGTTGCAGTATTTTTTTTTTGTTCTTGCCCTTCTTATTAAGATATTATATATAAGATCGATGTAATTGTATATATATTTCCTAAGTAACTGGCAGTAAATTACCTGTAATCTATTTGTGTCCTGTGCCTCCTTCAGTGATTCCAGATATTCACGATTTTCCTGTATCAGCTTTTGTATCTGATCTTGCAATATTTTTATTTCCAGTTCTTTTTCACTGAAGACTTCTGCATCTGTTGCAAGAGCCTGCTAGGTAATAAAGGGAGAGTAGGATAAATGACAGAACATATGAAATGGAAAGTTCTCTGAACTGCATAGTGAGGTTTTGTTGCAATTCCACTAATTCTACTAGTATTGCATTAATTATATATGTTTTATTTATATAACTCTAGTATGCAAAAATTATAAACACATATTGTCCCAAACAATTAAATGTATTTAATTTAAATCTAGCACAGAAGTTAGTTAAAAAGTCTTTGTCACTATTTACATTTTGATTCTTTAGGAAAAAATATGTGTAGTAATAGTACCCTGTTCTTTCCTTAAAATAATTCCTGCAAAATAATAAAGTTCCTTCCAAAAACATTGCTCACATTTTATGTATGATTTGAGATGGGATAGCTACAACGAGAATAGATTACCATGATTGGAAAGGAAAGTTAATTCTACCTTGTAGATGGTGTGTCTATTATTAATATGTGTTATTCAGAAAGTTACTAATGGAAAAGTTCCTCTTTCATCTTACATAATATTCTTATTGAATATCTTTCCCTGCAGGAGCAGAACTGAGGAGAATTACAGTCTATTTTCTTCTGTCACTACAATGCTCAAACTGACCTGTACATCTGTCATCTGGCAACAGGCAAATAGAAGGCAAAATGGAAAAAGTAAAAGTAAATAAATAGCTTGAAGAACAATTAATTTTTTTACCCGATTTAATTACTTTCAGTAATCATAATTTACTTGGCTAAATCTAAATTAAGAGGAGCTACAGCTAAATCTAATTTATATCAACACCATTCAAGTTACAAGTTAGAATAGAAGAAATGTATGCCTTATCTGAGACCATATTTAATGGGTTCCCTGTTTCAATAATCTGTGAAATGGCTTGGAAAGAAATGGACAACCATGCAATATTCAAGACACTGGTGAAGGCTAGACTTGCTTTGACACCTGAAAATTCTTGAATAACTTCAGATCTCTATGGTGAAAGGCACATGATTCCTATCACATCTTTGCTTACAAAATGAGCACAGCCTGCAAGACTTGGAGCAAATTGGCAGGAATCAACACAATCAAGGAAGTTAAAAAAAATGGATTGAACTGGAACAGCTCAAGCCTAACTTCCTGATCAGATCTGATCAAGATCACCAAAGGAGATCAAAGGCTGTAGAAGCATAGAGAAATGGCCCAGCAGGGGGTGAAATCCAGATCTCTGAGGCCAATGGAGACATACTGTATTACCACTCCAAGATATTCATGAAATGTCAGGAAATCTGACCAGGCAGAGCTATCCAAGGAGCAACATCAAAAGCAACACATTAACTGTCAGATACTGAACATGTCAACTTACATCCAATCCATCAATGGAAGGACAAGTGTGTTATTTGGGAAAGTCCTAGCACAGCACATATGGGAGATCCTAAGGAGAGAAGGACTAGGAATCAATTAAGATGGACCTCCTGATCCTGACAGCAAGGGTTTGCCCAGAGCCTCCCTTGGAAACCAAGGAACACACCTATAGGTCATGCAATGGAAACAGAGATACCAAGTATAGACTGGGGCTCCAAGAGTAACAATGAAGTAGAAGGCAAGATACCTCAGAAAGCAGAGCCCACTGAGATGCCTGGAATAGTCCTTAAGATGGCAAAAAGGAGTTCAGGAGAGAGCAAGAGGAGGATCAGATTTGTCCAAGATCCAAGAAAAGGTAGAGCGCAACCACCCATTAAACAAATTTCAGAACCCAAGATTTATTCTAAGAAAAGGACTGCTGTGTTGGGAATATCTTTCACAAGAATACAAGAAAAGGTACAAAATCCAGTGAGAATTATGCCCTGCAATTTTTCTCTCATCTTATAGTTGGCACATGATCACCCAAATGGACATATAGATATAGGAGAACTAAAGAAAACATTCAGCAAAATACTTATTATATTAGTTTGGCAGAGATATAACTGACTATGTAATATTTTCTATGGTGTGGGGAACAGCAAGGAAAGGGTGTGGATGTTGTTTCAAACCTTCCTTTCATAGTTCCTTTTGCAGAGTGACAACAGACATCTTCAGGTCTATCCAACCCAAGACAGCTCAGGGGAAGCAGTATGCACAAACTCTTGTGGACTATGTAAGTCACTGACCCAAGGCAATAGCTCTGGTTTGATTCTAATTAAGTCAGGGCTTAATTGACATTTTTGCCAAGATAGATGAAACAACTATCTTCTTATCAGAGGTGATAGAGAAGTTACAGCTACCCATGAGGTGAAGCACCTCACAACAGTCATCCACTGTCACCATACACATGACCTTGTAGACTAATTCAATGAAAATTTGGGTGCCACATTAAAAAATTAATTCAACAACTGGAATTTGGTGTTATTATAGCTATATGTACAACATATGTACATAGCTGCATGTACAGCATACAGTTCTATATCACACCCTAGTTCAGGATTTTCCTTTTTCAGGCTTGTGTGGAGGTAGGATGACAGACGGCTGCTGGAGCTGATTAGTTATCTGTGAGAAGGAGAATTGTTCAACGGTTGCTGAACAAGTGGATATAAGATGAGGACTATCTATACATGTCAAAAATAGATGTTGGAATCAGGAAATGGGGTACTGATTTTCAGGCTAGTGTGCTCTGCAAGACCCAAGCAGTCTGGCAGGATTTGTATCACATTAAAGAGAAAGTGAAATTGCTACACCATGTTATAGAGTTCCGAGGAACCAGACTGGAATCTAGAATGCACCATATGAATACTTAAACCCTATCACTCCAGGGAATCTATGGTGTATAACATCACCAGGGATCTGGCTGAGCATAGGAGTTCCTGGTGAAATATATTTGAGAGTTTGCCATGCCAACATTACCATTCTTAGTCATATCCTTCCTAAATGTAGCATTACAGGTAGTCCTGTCAGGCCTAGCCCAAGGAACTCCAAGAGACAGTGCAAATTCAGTCCAGTTATGTTTATTAGCTACAATCTCTAACAAGAATCTCCCCAGACTGAAACCCAAGACCCCAAAGTCAGCCAGCCACAACAGTGTGAATTCCTCAGGGAGGTGTCAGTCTCATCCTCTT